AAGCGGGATGGGAGGAGGGAGTTAAGCAGACAAAGCATTATGAGCTGTTAAAAGAGCAACTGATACAGGTTTGTCAAATATTAAGCCAACACAGTTTCAGTTCTGTTTTAAACAGGAGTGGTTCAGAAGGAGCTATCCTTTTCTTCAGCTATTGCCAAAAACGACTTGGAAATCAAGACTAAACAGATAGCACAGTGGATTGGCAAGAAATACCATGTTAAAGTTACCATCCGGCAAGCAAAAGGTAGCAATACGGACATGGTAAGTGAACTCCTGAAAATTGGACCAGTCAGTTTCATTAAATAGCTGTAGTTGTATTAACCTGCCCTATTCAGTACTGCCACAATTTTTTGTATCTCATGTACTGCTAAAGTACGTAAAGGTCTAGGTCCTGTGCAAGTAATGGCTGCCCATCTTAAGCTGCTTCTGTACAAACACTGCAGTTCTAGAAAAGTAGTCCCACTGAGCCAGTTCAAAGACCATGCTTTATTAAGAATGCAGTTACAATACTGGCTTTGACAGCACAGTCTAAGCAGTCTAGGCAGCACCACCTTATTAACTGGGCTGGTCAAATTTTCCCATCTATGCCTTAAGCCAGCTCACTCACTTTTAACAGTGAGGTTTGAAAAAGTTCTGCTGTATTTTATCTGGATTATTTCAATAATGTAACTGTTCTTCTACAGATGCAAGTGTGCAACTGTGGCTAAGGTTAGTTGTCCACTGCGGCATGAAAAACTATTGGAATGGTGTTCCAAGAACAGCAAAGTGAACATCTATAAAGATGTTAGGGAGCTGGTGGCAACTTACTAGTATAATTGCAGGGCCTTGAGACTTCATTGTCATTTGCACAAATGGCTTTTTTATAGATTCCATGTAAGACTTTTTTTTCCCCCCCCTTGTAATGTCTGTAGTGAATTAGGTTTCCTTGATGGTTGTCTCAACTGAGTTGGGGGAAATTGTTTTATCACTTCATCCAAAAGGAATAAAACTTCTTATAAAAAGTTAAATCCACGGGGAAAGGGTAACAGGAGGAACTGATTATGGGAGGGAACAGAACACTTCATGACACAGTCCAGATTTACATTGTCCTTAAATTTAAAAGTTTAATTATGAGCTTAGGAGTTCACTGTGTTACGTGAATGCACTGTTATCACTCAGTTCAATACAACCAGGTTCCTGCTCCTCAAGAGGAAAGCCCCATAATAATGTGTCTGAATCTAGTGGAATAGGAGGATGGGGGGGAGCCAGATGCAGACCACTCTCATGGACACCCTTAAAGAGCAAAACAAGATGAGTTAGGAGTTCAGCTTGAAGGCTAGGAGATGGCTTAATCCCTCCTGTGTGACTTTCCTAAACCTGCTTATGAGTAAAGAACAAACAGTTAGGAAAGGACAAGCTGAACTGCTCCAACTAGGACTACCAAATAGGTTGTTTCAGCTAACAGCTAAACCATAAGCAGCAGATATGTCATTACAGAACAGCTGGAAATATTTTTCTGCCCGTATTTGTGCATTGATTTAGTCCTATTTTTCTCCTCCTTTTTAGTCCATGCTTTTTGATCAAATTTTGGAGACTGTGTCTGAGAAAGCCACTTATCTTTCCAAGCCAAAAGTTACTAGAGAAGGAGTAAGTGCCTGTATTTTGAGACACATGTCTGACAAAGAGTTGAAAGCACACCAGAAGATGGAAAACCAGAAAAACAGTACAGTAAAGAAAGATGAAAATGAAGATCTGAAGTCAAATGAGTTGCATCAGTGACTTTATGAAGTGGTGTAAACAATACTAATTTATTAAAAAATAAAATAAAAATATTAACTTGATAAAGTTATTGTTAAGCTTTGCATTGGTCATTCCATGAAGAATGTTGTCTCAGTTAACCTTTACTGCAGAGTCAGAATTTCAACAGTTGGTATTTCATTTTCCACAAGCTTATTCATTGTCTTGCTTTCTGTCACAACTGCATCCTTTCCCAGCTGTGCTTTAGGAGGAATGTAGCCACTCAGACGCGAGGCTAAGCTCCTCTTAGGACGAGAACGCTTGGCCTGGCAGAAGTAAATCCAGAATTAGTAAACTTTACGTATCTATGGAACAAAGACTACTAATGTGGGGGGGAAAGAAGAATTCAATGAATAGGGTACCACTGCAGTAGCTAAAAGAGCTTCAGAAATTAAGAATCTCACAAATTAACTGGATAGCTAACCTATTTTTCTGCTTCAAGTCACATTCTAAAACACATAACATTTACCCTCCTCTGCAGCGACACGGTATGGTTGAGAAGACTTTTTCAAGAGTATAACTTACCTTCAAGTTCAGCTTTCTCTTTTCAGGATCATGTACAACTGTGTGCCTTGCTAGGCTCTGCTACAGTTACAAAGAGCAGGGGAAAAAAAAAAGAGTTAGGTTTATAATTTCAGATTATGTGATTCAGATAAAAACAGTTTAAAAAGTACGTACTTTCATTGCAAACACTCTTCCACAGCCTGGATAATCACAAGAGAATGGTTTTTTCTCCTCATGAAAAGAGAGGATATGGCTTTGAAGGTTAAATAAAGTTGTGTAGGTTCTTCCACATCCTTCTCTTGGGCATCGGCAGACTTCCCTCTCCACAGCATGTGTTTTTTGATGCTGCTTGAGGTAATCTTTCCGTTTGAAAGTTTTGTGACACTCACTGCAAACTACTGGCTCTGAGTGGGAGAGAGAAAAAGGCAGAGTTTCTTAACAGAAGCTCAGAATCAAACCCTAGTAGTTCTCCAGAACAATGCTAAAATCCACATGAAATGCAAGGAACTCAGAGACTGGAAGAGAATAATGTAGTATGAATTATTCAGATCCTAAATCCTGCATTAAACAATTTCTTCTTAACTGGATCATAAAGCAAAGTCAGTATACAAAGCAGCATTTTCATCAGACAAAGATCTAGCCAGAGTAACAACCAGTTTACCAATAAAGTGTTAAGACAAGTTTGTACACAATGACAAGTTGATGAAATGAGTTCAGCACAGATTCCTCTTCAAATTAGCATTTGGAGTTTACCTGTATGACTGACTTTATTGTGTTTCAGAAGCTCTGTCCAAGTTTTTGCAGTATATGAGCAGTTTTCTTTCTTGCATGCATAGCCTGTTGGACAGGACAGATGTTTAAAGTCACAGAGGGTCTGGCAAACACAGTCCAGTTTTACAAGGGGGAACTCCACTTCTAGCATTTAAAAATTAAAGGCCAGTAATTCCTTCTCTCATACTACACAGGAATGGGACAAGAGACAACAAACACAAATTAAGACATGAGAAGATCCTAACAGGTTTAAGAAAGAAACCTTGTATCACTGACTCAAGTTGTCCAGAGAGGCTGTGGAAGCCTTAGCCATGAAAACATTCAAAATTACTGGATGCAGCCCTCAGCAACCTGGTGTAAGTGATCCTGCCTTGAGCAGGGAGCTGGACCAGATGACCTCCAGAGGTCCTTTCTGACCTAAACAATTTTGTGAAACTCTCTCTCCTTGCTTCAGTAGAGCTATTTCTTTCACTCAAATGGATGAAAATAATAATATATAATATTCCTATATAAGTATTTGTACTGCATATTAAAAAAAATCTTGACCATACAGTAATATTCCAGGTCTAGAGACTCTACCATTCTATCAAGCAAACAGGAACCACAGAAAATCAACCCTATTTAAATCCCAGGACTGGAAAGGTCAAACAACTATGAACAAGTCTTTGTCTTAAGAAAGGAACACAGTACAAATCGCATCTTTCTATATACTCTTCCTTGTCTGTTGAGCTGGTTTGGTTTGGGTTTTTTCTATCACTAGAAAGCTGGTTAGCTGTCAACAGTACTGAAAGAATGGACAGGAGTGTAGCAAGATTAGCTCAAACATACACAGCCATTGTCATGATGATTTCACTTAAAAACCTTTCACATAGGTTCATTAATAACTAAAAATGCACATGGTTTTGCCAAGCCTCTATATGAAATTTGTGGCAGAACTGGCAATTGATCCTAAGCTCTGGAGGTCTAGGCTAGCGCCTTAACCATTAGCCCATCTCCAAAGATGGATTACTGATAAGGAAGCACCTCAGGAGAAGAAATAACTGAAGGAATCATGAGCTCTGTTCAGTCTGCCACAAATACACTGAAACTGAACAATGCCTTGCAGTTGTATCCCATTTGACTATTCAAAATGGGTGTTCTTGTTTTTTCTGTGTAGATCACTAGGCCCAGAATAATTCCACGTGTCACACATACTTGCATACTCTCTGCTGGAAGAAGCCCTTTTTCCTTTGCTGAAACGCGACTGAAGAAGAAAAATTATTATACCTTCATGTGTCTTCTCATGCCGCTTTAGTCGACTTGGAGTAGAAAAGCCCTTTCCACATCCTTCTTTATTACATCTAGGTATAAAATACAGTGGTTTAATTTCTTTCACTGTATCCACATATTTTTATATCTTTAAGTCAAGAACAATCAAAGTAAAGAAAATAATCCAAGTTTCCCCTTGCCTAGAGATCTGTGTATGTCCCCACCTTGTAAAAGAAAATCCCATAATATTTTTCTAATAGAGGACTCTTAACGCTTTTGAGAGTTAGAACTATAGAGTCAAGTCTTCTATCATCCCTACACAGTAGGCTCTTCAAACATAAGAGATAGAAAGTTTAACTGGCTTATACAGATCCAGCAGTCAGAGCAACAGTAGAGTGCTGATTATTTTTGTGTCTGTCACCCAGCCATACTCATGAACTTCACTTAAGTGGAATGAACACTCATGTTAAGTGTGTTCCACCTGTAAGAAATACAAAACTAAACTTTGATTTCATCAGATCTCTACTGATGTGTTATCTCTACGGAGTTGCAATGCACAGCTTCTAAGACTGGTGTCCAAGTTTCTCATCTTTTTGAAGGTACTACTCACTTCAATGTTAGCCAAGTCACTGTTTTTTACTGGGTAGCTGCATTTTTCATTACTGTGCAAGCTCTTATGCTTGATTTCAGACTTTGTGAACTAAAAGCTGGGGGGAGTTATTTTTCCTGTGAACCTATAATAAACCATAAGAATGCCGGAATTGCTGGAATGCCAGAGTTACAGACCACCAAGACTGTTGCTCAAAACAGACTACTGAGCAAAGGACTAGTACAAGAAATATACTTGCAGCCATGACTACAAATTGATTCCATTTTTTAATGCCACATTAACAAAAAGGCTAAGAAAAGGCACCCATTTTTATCTAGAGTGTTTAAATGGAATTGTTGAAGTTCATTATTAAAATTATCCACCTACTTGAAGGGAGGTTCATTGGTGTGGTGACACTGATGAACTTTAAGTTGTTGATGCTTTCTGAAAGACTTGTTACAGCCTTCAAAGTTGCACTATTGAGGAAATTAAGTTATCATTAGAGGCCAAATAATGACAGCTCAGTTCATGTGTTTGCTGAAATCCCAGTCACAGTCTTTGAACTTATACATGTACCACATAATAACAAGTTGAAGTATTTCACTAGATACACAAAAAGGAGCTTGTTTAGCCTCCACTATACAGTACAAAGGTAATTACTCACGACATATTGCTTTTGCTGATTTTGATGCTTGCGCTCAATGTGCTTCTTTAAGTTTGATTTTGTTCCAAATTTCTCATTGCATCCATCAGCTGTGCACCTATAGATGAACTGCATTTTTTATTACCGCTCTCAAACAGTGGTTTGTTCCCTAGGCAGATACAGAAATCATTGCACGAGAACAATGCATGAGGAATAACTGAAACTCAAAACCCAAATATAAAAGTTTGCTTTAAATTCATGTAAAGCCAGAGGCTGTTACAATCAATAATCACATGAAACATATCAGAAGATACTTTTAATAAAACACATAGGAATTTCTAGGTAATCCATGACATGCAGCTATTAAGGGCTTGATAATAGGAGATAACCTCCCTTACTCCTTTAATAATGTATTCTAGGGAAAGACCTGCCTATGCCTTTAAGCATCTATTATAGATCACTGCCAGACAGCAGGTTTTTGGGCTAAGGAGATCCCCATGTACCGTGTGCACACTGTTCTGGCAGTGCTCACGATACTAAAGCTAAGCATGCATGCCCTGTGCCACCCTCAGTTATAACTCCGTTTCCGTACAGACAAGTGCACTGCCGCTTAAGGAGTAAAAACTTGGGCCTTACTCAAAGGGCTTTTCCCCAGTGTGCGTGAGGAGGTGTCGGGCGCGGTGGAAGTCTCTCGTGAAGCCTTTGCCGCAGCCTTCATAATCGCAAACATACGGCCTCTGAAACACAGGGGCTCTTGAGAGGAGCTGTCCCAAGGGGGCTCGGCTGCTCCCGGGATTGCGCCGTCAGCGGGATGCCCCGGCGGCACCGGTCCCGGCCGCGGACACAGCCCCGCAGCCCCCGCGGTGTCCTGGGACTCCGAGGCGGTGAAGGGCTGTCCGGTGCCCCCGCGGGGGCCAATGCCGCCCGTCTGCGGGGCCCCAGCGCGGTGCCCCCACTTCGGTCACACAGCCCCCCGTCCCCAGCCGGCGGGGCTCACCTCGCCCGTGTGCCGGCAGAGGTGGGCCGACAGCCGCCAGGCCTTGTTGAAGGTGGCGTCGCAGCCGGGGAAGGAGCAGATGTACGGGCGGGCGAGGAGGGCGCTCCCGCTCCCCTTGCCAGCGTTTCCCTTCCCGGAGCTCCCGCTCCCGCTGCCGTTCCCGTTCTTCCCACCGCCGCCCCCCTGTGCGCTGCCTACCGCCCTCTGCCCGGCCATGCCGGAGCGCACGTGACCGGCCCCACCCGGGGGCGGGGGCGGCGCGTGCGCGGTGTGGCGGGCCTGC